ATTTTTTTTTTTATAGTTTATTAATACAAATTTTTCTAACGAGATATTAATGTTTAAATGAAAACGATAACAATAAAGGAATGTCACATATAAAATTATAGAATTATCGTCAAAGGGCTGTGTGTTCCTATGATAATAGGTACTCGACGTAAATGTATGTTATACTATAAGTTTAAATGAAATGATGTTTATCGTAATAATATTCACTTTTTATTTGTCATGTGTGCCTATATTTATTATCTATAAATAAGAATAGGAAACGTATAGGAAAGTTAGCGATCGGTTCGTTCGTATCGGAGGTAGGGCTTCTTGCAATACTTTCGGCCGTTTTGCGGTAGAGTTTCTGAAATGGAACGATGCCCAGGAGGGCTAAAGCTGGCGTCGTTTCGTGTGAAATATTAAGAACGGTGCTCGGGACAAACGGGTCCTCCTCCTCCTCCCTCTCTTCCACGAAGAGAAAACTCTCGGAAAGTGCATAGACTTTGAATGAGCTCAACCCACGTAACCTGTTTCTTACAAAGTAAGTACTTGCTACTTTTTTACAAGAAAAAAAAAACAAAAAGAAAAGAAAAAGGTAGATATGACGAACAATGGAAATTGATCGTTTATCCTTGCGTCCGAAAAATTTATACACAAAATTCTAGGTAGTCGCGAATATAAAACAAAAAGTTTGTTAAGAGATTCATGTGTGAAATTATTTGGAAAATAAATCCTTTGCGAAATAACGCAAACTCTAAATTAATATTTGTAATACTTTTCATTGATAAATTAAAAAATTACGCAAATATTCTTATGTTATTTTATTTCTTTAACTATGCTTGCCTTTCGTAATAATGTTTATTTTTTAAGAAAATTAATAAAACGTTAGCAAAAGAAAAGAAAACGTTAGCTTTACTTACTTTTGTATAAGGAAAAGATTGATACCTTTTTTTTCTTTTCTTTAAATTTTATCTTTGACTTATTAGACAAAAGTATTCGATCAATATGCCGATTGAATTATAATAATAATAATAATGACTTACAGATGACGATGAGATGAGCGTTCGCACGAATCGGTTTGATTCGTAAATATGGTCCAACTTGGCATTGATATTCTCCATCATCGGTAAGAGAAGCATCGGTAATCCTAAGATTATAAAATCCCTTGTTTTGATCACCGATCAGTCTCAATCTTGGATGACCGACGATTTCACCGTCTGCGTATAAAACGAAGAAAAATCAATCAATCAATCACATACACACACAAAACAAAATTAATTATTAATTATATATATATATGAATAGTCCCATATGAAGAAGTCCCAATAAAGGAACGAAACGTCCAACTTACTAAAATTAAGTTCTACTTCTTTTGTTGATCTCCAAATTCCCTATGATACCTTCTTTTATTAATATTTTAATTAGATTATTTTATTTCTAAAATAACATAGCGTGTACTTTATATCCGGTGAATTATTTTCTTTACGAAATGTGAACAAATTATTGTTAAAACGTTAATGTCATTAATCCGTCACCGAAAAATAATATTCCTTTTACGAACGAGAGATTCATTTTAATATTACTAGAGAAATAAACCGGTGAGATAGGGGTAGAAGGGGGTGAGAAGAGGGAGGAGGAGGGGGTGAGAAGAAAATCTCTACTCTTCACGCGAACGTAACAAACTGATTGCGCGTCGTTTCGTAACAAAGAAGTCAACCAACGATGAGTTGACGACGGTTTTACATGAAAAGGAAAAATGGATGAAAACGACGAAATATGCGCTGCTAGCGGCAACGATTAAATTTACGCTTCTCGGTTCGTCCCCCTCCCCATCCCCACCCCCCTTCTTTTTCCCTGTCTACCTGCCCCACTCAAACACCTCCGACGTTTCTCAAAAGAAACTTTCCTAAACCTCTCGTCGGTCGTTTGAATTAAAAAATTGCAAATTCCTGTTCGAAGTAACTCCAAGAGTTTTGTCCACGAGAAAAGCTTAAATTAAAAACTTGATCTATGCGAGAATAAATATTGTCAAATATAGTTATATCCGGACAATCGTATACGCATATCAGAAAAAAAGAGAAAAAGAAACCATGTGGTGATATTTAAAATTAGCACGGTCGTCCAATGTGTATAACATAAACGAATATAATGAAACAGTTAATTATGCAATTATTCGTTTGAACGACATTTTTTCGTTTTGTTTTTGTATCCTTTTCGTACACATTAATCTTCGTGTTACTCTATAAATTTGTAAAAACGTAAATAAAAAGAGAAGAGAAAAAAAGAAAAAGAAATAAATAAAAATAAGTTATCGAAATTTTCTCGGGAAAACGTGCACGTCTAACCATCTCGCGGGAATAAAAATGAGCTCCCATGAAAAACGATAATAATAATAATAATAAATAAATAAAAAGAAAAAACCACGTTCGTTCTCAGAAAAAAAAAGAATAATATTTGAAAAAAGTCATCGCGCGAAATGGGAAGCATATGGAAGGGAAACAAAAAACGTTTGTGGTATTATTACTCGAGAAATAAGTGTAACACAACACATCGACAACAACGTATTGTAACTATTTAACGAGCATTTTTTATTTTTTTGTTGTTTCTTATTATAAGCAATACTTACTCGGTTGTATGACGTAAGCAAAGCCGTCTTTGACCCACTGAACGATGCCGACCCTGTTCTCGACCTCGCAAGGTATTATCACCTCGCCACCCTCGAGCACGGAACTATTTCTCGGCTTGAACCGAAAATATTGGGTACCCTCGCCTGCTGAAACACACAGAAGAAAATAACGATACTAACTTTCGTGTATTACTATAGTAACTCATGCACATACGAGTAAGTATATATTATCTTGCTGAGATAACTCGCGTACACGGGAGGGATGATAACAACAACAAAATATTATCACGTGTTCTAACGAAAAAAACAAAAAAGAAAAAAAAGAAACAATAAAGAATGAAATATGGAATTATACCTTGGCGAGCGACGAGGAAAAAAAAACAAAGAAAAAATATTATTCGAATTTTGACAGAGTAAATTGATTATTCTTCTAATAAATATTGTTTGGGAAGAGAAAGAGAGAGAAAAATGAAGAAATCAATTTAACTTTGTTAAACACAAAAGTACGAACGAGTAAAAATAATAATTATAAACAAAAAAAATGAATGCATTCGTATTTATTGGGTTGGCAACTAAGTGAGTGCGGTTATTTTAATAAAAACTTATTGACAACAGGTCACAGGGGTGACTGTTTTAATTTATACCATTAAACTAAGGTTTAAACTTATTTCCAACTTGATGCAACCACTACGAAAAAAAAGAAGATAAAGAATTATTTGATAAATTTGAAAAAGGGTAATCGTCAATTCTAATCTGATTGCGGTTAATTTTTATTTATCCCGTTTCTCATATAAATTCCCCAATCCAAGTAATTATATTAATATAATATAGTTATATTAATATTGTATTATAATACCATTAATCTCTAACAATATTAATAATTAATATTTTCGTTTAGTTTCAATTAAAACGTCGATACGTTGTTTTTTTTTTCTTATTTGCGATAAATCATAAACAACACATCACTTAATAGGTCCCCAGTCTGACACATATATCGCAACATTGTTGACAGACCCACGTGATTTCCGGATAGTACTTAAATTCAAACAGTATATGTCAAAATTCTCCCGGGATTCTGCATCAGGGAAATAAACTATTATTGACTGGTATGCTGAATTTAAACGCGGTCGTACAAACATCAATGATGCTGAACGCCCCGGTAGCCTAAAATCGGCAGTTGTTCCGGAAAACATCAAAAATGTCTACAAAAAATAATTTTAGAAGATCGAAAAATGAAGTTGCGTGAGATAGCTGATACTTTGAAGATATCAGAAGATAGTGTCTTAGAAATTGCAAAGATGCACAATTTACAGCATTCCATTCTCTGACATTTTCTGAACTTTTCACGCTAAATTTATAACTAGATATGGTGTTCTACGCGTAGACAAAAGAATGTACTTTAATTTAATATAAGTTTCATTAAAATCTATTCACTTTTAGTATAAAAAATATTTACCAAAACTTTTCGAAGAAATAGCAAAGTTGTACAACTCATAGTATTGCACTCACTGATTGCATCTTTAATTATCTTTATTTATCTTTCTACGATAAAAGTTATCTTTCTACGATAAAAATAAAAGAAATAATTCACTTGGACAATTGCCGTTCGTTTCCGTTTCCTAAATTATTCTAGATTTTCACGATAGGTGGGGAGTGGGGGGAAGGTAATCCCAAATTCGTGGTGGAACAATGACAATGTAAAGTGATTCGTTCTGTACTCGTAATTATAATTAAGTGTATCAACAATAGTATTTTATTATTTCTCGTTAATACCGTTCCCCCGTTCCCCCTTAAATGCATTTCCCCTATTGTTGTCTCCTTCTAGGAGTATTTCTTGCTTCAGGAAATTCAACGTTTATTGAGTTTTGATATTAGTCGTTTCCTCTTTTCTCTGTTCTCGGTTTCCTTATTGTATTGTTTTTCTTGTTCTTTTTTGGTGTTTACCATCCCAACGATTGCAAAATGAGTCGACATTGTCGTCGTCGTCGTCGTCGTCGTCGTCGTCGTCGTCGTCGTCGTCGTCATAGTACTCGTCGTCCTCATCATCATCGTCAAAGAATATAATCGTAATGCTACAAACTCGATATGACAATGGGTCTTCGTTATTTGCATATCCATTATATCGTGTCTCCATTGAAACGACACGGTTATAAAAGCCATCCCAGTTTGTTATTTATTTTTCCTTCGATTCATGCTCCGATATTACATTGAAAAAGAAAAGAAATAAAAAGAAAAGAAAAGAAAAGAAAAGAAAAGAAAAGAAAAGAAAAGGAAAGAAAATAAAGGAAAAGAAGAAGTTTTTAGGAATGCTATTTCAACCGTTAAATAGAATCCAACGATATTTTTATTGTTTGTAAAATTACCTATCAATGAATAACGTTGTTTATACAATATTCAATGAAATTCATTTTTATTATTATTATTATTAAATTTATCTTACACGAATTTTTGTCGAATAAACAAAAAAGAAAAGGGGTTAGTAAATAATATTTAAATTTATACTACTTTTTCGAATGTGATCGAATAAACGTTTCTTTCCTCAGAGATTTCGTCATGGTTACGTCAGGCTTTATATATAATAAATGTTATATTTATAATAATTTTATATAAATAGCTTCTAGAAAAAATGGCAGAAGCAAAGTTGTATACCTTGTATGTATATATATATATTTAGATTATTACTTTAACAGTGTTAGAAATCAACTTATCGTATTTGTGCGTATACGCATACCTGCATACAAAAATATATGATTTTCGTAGTTTTCTTATTTGATTCGAATCACACTTGAAAAATATTTCATTTCTAGAACGAGCAGTACGTTTAATAATAATTTTCATCGCACGTACGCACCCACACAACGGTACGGTGATGGTGGTTGTGGTAGTGGTTGGAAAAACAAATCTTCCTGCTTTCTCAACGAGGTGCGATTCGAATTACCCAAGGGATAAAACCATACCTACAGTTGAGAGAGCACGGAATTTCATGAAGAACATTTGTGGAAGGGTAACTTCGAAATTCTGACGCGTACGAAAACTCCCCGCAGTAATAACCATGCTGGAATATATTCCTGAGCCACTAAACTCCTAATTTTTGATCGGTACGGTAGATGAGAAAATAAGGGATAAGATACGGTTCTGCTTATCTCTTTCCCCAAAAAAATTAAAAAACTATCATCCCTAGATTTATCTTCCATTCGATTAATTTTTTTTCTCTTTATTTATTCTTTTATCATATAATATTTTAAATACCCATAATGTGTTAAAATCGTATCTAAATTCATTCGATATTATTTCTCTCTCGTTTACAGAATAGAATATTGTATGAATACAATGTTACTAGAAAACGAAAGGGTTACTAGTAACATTTATTATTTCAATTAAGATAAATGCATAAATACAAACCAAACATTGTACACCTTCTATTATTGGTCGTACAATTATGTCGAATTTAGAAAAATGTATTTCTATAAATAAAATATATATATATATATTTGTGTTATATGGATCGTTAATCAACTGGAACAAATAGTCAGGATCAAAATGAGATCTAATATGCATACATAGTTCACAGTTACGTTGTTAGCAATTCAAAAGTAACGAGAAACTTTTATCACTGGCTTAGTAATAAAATACGAATGAATCATCCATTCTCTTTCTCTCTCTATGGGGATATACTTTCTTTGTTTTTTTTTTGTTTTTTTTTTTTAACCGTGCTTATTTGCTGGCATTTGTGCGTTTTTTTTATAACAAAGAAAAGAGAGATATCCCCCAGCTCGACGCGTGATTCGAGTAAAGAGATTTATTAAACTCCCAACGATAAAGTTAAATCTTTCTCTCCCTCTCTCTCTCTCTCTCACGTCGTTAAACAAAGCCTCGTCATACGTGTTTCAGTTCGATCCGGTTCGTACATGCGAAGCATGCGTGAAAACAATGAAGCATTATTAACTTTAACCCTCCCCTCCCCCGCCCCATCACCCCAAACCACCACCCACCACCCCGTTTCGATGCTTCTCTCACAAAGCTCGGAGATATGCATACAGATAACTAGCTAGGTTAGCTAGATAGATAGATAGTTAGATAGAAAGATAAATTGGTGGACATAGAAAGATGAATTCTCTAACAAAGGAGTCGTTATCATTCGTGAAACGTCGAAGAGATATATACTTTTGTAATTCTAAAACAATTGAATACAATTTTTACATAAAAAAAACAAAAGGAAAAAAATCAGAGAGAAATCTACAGAGAGAGAGAGAGAGAGGAATATGAAGGAAGGAAAAAAAAATATGATATTGTCCGTCATACCATTTGTCACGAGATTCAATTTACACGTTCGATTATAATTTTTTTTGGTTCAAATGTAACACACGTCATAAAATTTGTTTTACAATGCCCATTCAAATACATCTTACGAATTTGTTTAATTTCTGATAATATAATATAGTTTGGTATAGTTTAGTCTTCAATATGAATAAACTCATTTCGTTCTTTCGTTTTATAAAGCTCGTTTGGAAACAAAGGAAAGTCACTTGAAAAATTTCTAACAGTCCAACGTGGTCGTCTCTTCTCTTCTCTTCTCTTCTCTTCGCTAATAACGAGAGTTGAGAATAAATAATTTAACGAAATTATATAGGTCAGTCTGCCAACGTAAAGTATCTTTTATTTACATGAGTATAATCTCTCTCTCTCTCTCTCTCTCTCTCCTTTCTTTCTTTCTCTGGAATTAAATGTCGTCGACGAGATTTTCAAACAAAGGATATGCTGTTTTATTCTAAAAAAAAAAGAAAAAAAACATAAAGAAAAGAAGAAAAAAACACATTTTCCTATAACAACAATTAAATATTAATCGTTACATTATTTTTTTCCCTTTCGAATAATTTCCTACTCAATGGTCTCGAAAATAATCGAATTACGTGTGAAGAAAAAAATAATAGAGGTGTGTGTGTGAGAGAGAGAGAGAGAGAGAGAGAGAGAGAGAGAGAACGATGAAAATTTATACGGTCGATTGGGAATGAATTTCAGTTTCGATTCGAATTCAGTATACTCGGATAATCTACGTTAAGACAATACTGACGGCAGAGAGAATGGCAAGGTGATGATAGGCCTTTGATCATCTAGTCAAAAGATTACGATAGAAAGGGGGACAGACG